AGAATCGGTCAAAGAAGCTTCAGGGGCAACCATCCAAGAATCTAATGGCGGAGAGGAGAAGAAGAAAGAGATTAAATGATAGGCTCTCAATGCTGAGAGCAATTGTCCCCAAGATTAGTAAGGTATGCAGTGAGTGTTAGTCATTCATTCAGTGAGTACTGTACTTACATAAATGTGCAGATCTAATTGTTGCGTTGAATGCATTTCACAGATGGATAGAACATCTATACTTGGAGACACTATTGATTACATGAAAGAACTTCTGGAGAAGATCAACAATCTTCAGCAAGAAGTAGAAGTAGATTCAAAAATGGCAGGCATTTTCAAAGATGTAAAGCCAAATGAAATCCAAGTTAGAAATTCACCCAAGGTATGGATTTTGCCTATCACCTATGGGGAAATTATTACATTTATATATGATTCAAACCACTCTCCACATAACATATAACTGACTTTTCAATTTACTAAATATAATTAACAAAACGCAGTTGTGTAATTAAAACCATAATGTTCTTTGAACTTGTAATAATTTCTTTGATAAACCCTTTTGAAGAAAATATTTGTTGATAGATCAGTTGTGATTGGTGCAATCCTGGATTGATTTTTACATATTACCGTTTTGGTCCTTGCAGTTTGAAGTGGAGAGGAGTGTGGACACACGGGTGGAAATTTGCTGTGCAGGAAAGCCAGGATTGTTACTATCAACAGTAAACACCCTGGAAGCATTAGGCCTTGAGATTCAACAATGTGTTATCAGCTGTTTCAATGATTTCACAATGCAGGCTTCTTGCTCAGAGGTACATTAGTACACCATGTTTTGGTTACTGCATAAAAAATCTTAAATAGCTTCATATTTTCCGTTCATTTGAGGCACTGTGTAATGAATCGTGTATCCTGTTTGTGATGAAACAGGAATTGGAACAAAGGGCAATGCTGAGTTCTGAGGATATAAAACAAGCATTGTATAGAAGCGCAGGATATGGAGGAAGGTGTTTGTGAGAATTAAAGAGAGAAAGAAGAAGAAGAGGTGCAAGTGCCACTCACGATAGTTTTTTATTCCATTCCTCAGAAGGGGTATTACGTCCATTGGTTTCAGAGGGTAATATTTTTTTTTTTTTTTATGAAATTGCCAGAGTATTCTGGACTCGTCCGTGCGATTCTCAGGTGAAGTTACCAATTATTAACGTTGACGTGGATGTAATCATGTAATTGTTTGTAATAATACAAATTATGGACGAGAACCTAGTTAATGTCCCTGAATGCATGTGGAGGGCACAAGCAAAAATGTTCAGACATAATAATAAGAGTAAAGTTCGGGTTTTGATTCTATTCTTTTCAGACATGGCTTTCCAATATCTCTCTCTCTGTGTGACTTGTATGTATAAAGACACTTTTCTCTGTAATGATGTGACATTGATAATTTAGTGCTTTCGATCTTGTGCTAGTTTCGTAAACGCAAGATCGTGATATTTAGTAATTTACTAACTTGTTCATTTTTCATTGGGAAAAAGATTAAAAGATGACGAAAGAAGAAGTTATTATGAAAACAGAAATACTTTACTAACTTGTTCATTTTTCATGAGGAATATTCCTAACAGTAACAGCAAAAGAGAAAGAATAAAAAAACAGCATATGAGCTCCAAAGAAAGAGCTATATAATTCTTTTTAATGTGCTTATAAAATTGCTTAAAAATAATTTTGTTTGTACTTCCAACTGGTGTGTGTACAAAGTGACATCCTGAAAAGTTTAAAGTTTACTTACTTTTCTCAAAAAAATAAATCTTTTTCAGCAGTTATTCTTCCCCGTCTTTCTGTTTCTCTCCAAAATTTGAAATGGACTTTAACCAATATAATTTAACAATAAATCATCCGTGGTCTTCAAAATATAATCACCAAATAGCAAATTGAGCATGTTACTCTTCTAGCTAGATCAAAACAAGAACATGACAATGCTAACCATATCCCATATAGCATGATGAAGAGGATGTAATATGAAACACTAGGATCAATCTCAGTAGTCTTCTCTACAGAAAAAGGTTTCAATCATTTTTGGTCGGCACTAATTGCCGAAACATGAATATGAAAGAAATTAGAAGGCAACGTGCGATGTTGTCGATGAATCCAAAATTAAAATAAGTCCAAAAACCTGCATCAGCTATTATTATTACTGCATGTTAGTATTAACTCCAAATCTGTCGTTTCAGATTCTGTAACAAAGAAACGTGAAACATCCAAACTCCATCATCTTGCAATGCTAACAGATCCAGAAGAAAAAATAAAAGAATTAATAAAAATAAATAGGAATACCTAGATTCCAAATGTATCTGCTGATAACATCAAGCCAAAGTCTTATCCAACCCTTGTTTTTGTTCTGTTTTTTTCTTCTTTTTTTTCCTGAAGAGAACTCAGATTAGAGTTGCCATTGGTATATAATCCAAGAGAATCTTTCAGATATGACCAATGCCCTGGCGGCACTGCTTTTAAGAAAGCTCAAATGTGAAAACAAATGTCACGTAAACTCGTAAAGCCATCAACAACGGGAAGAAGCTTTTGGCACTTTTGCAGACAGAAGACTGAAATACACTGGATAATTAAACATATAAATGAAAATAAGTGAAAATTATAAAAACTATAATTTTTTTTAAACTAAATTTAAGCGATTAAAATAAGATTTTTAAAATGTTTATAATCTTTCAAAATTAATATTCAAAAACTATAAATGAGAAATGACATAATTCGATGAGATTAGTTCAATAATACGAAAAAAATATATAATTAAGTATATAAAAAAATTCTCTAAAGTTAAAATAATAATAAAAAATTCTTTTGATAGGAGAGTTTGATGATTTTTTTTTCAAAATATAATAAAAAATTATTTTAAAGATAGGAGAGTGTGATAAAAACATATCATTCAAGATGAGGAGATTTCATAAAATTTTATTTAAACTAAAAACATTATAGATTAAATATAATTCTCATATTATGGGATTTACTAATATATTATAATATTTTTTTATTCACATAATTAAAATAAAATTTATTATTTTTAAAAACTACAACATAATTAAACCTTTATTTCTTAACAAGTTACGCGTAATTTGTCTTATATGAAATATCTGACAAAGGGTTTGTCTTAAACATCAGGTTAATGGCCCGTAGTCCAAAACTTGAGCTTATCACGAAACTTATGGCCCAAATAATTAAATGGGTCGCAACTTTTTGTAGGAAAAAAACGGTACTCTTTACTCTTCGACAATTATTACTTGCACCATATTTTCACTAAACACACACCTACGTTTTTAAAAACTGCCCTTCATGCACTGGTTTTGTAGGTAAGTTATTTCTTGTTCGTTTTTAGAATTGAGAATGCTTTTAAAATTGACTAATGATGTTTGGAAAAATCAATTTTATCAAAAAAATAGATTTTTTTTTGTACATTTTTCTGTTATATTAATTACTCTCTTACTATTTGTCAAATAGCATTTTAGGTTGTTTAAAATTTATTTTGTTTTGAATTATCAAATTAATATTAAAAAAAAGGATAAATCATACATATGTTACTTATAGCTGTTTACATTTATGAGGTTTAAAACTATACGAAATTACAATGAAAATCCGTTGGAAATTATTCGCATAAAAAAAAACCGTACTCATTAAATATAACCTAAAACTTAAAACTATTATCTTTAGCATTTACAAAATATGTTTTTTTATTATTATTTAAATTTCTTGAAAAGTTTAAATTATTATTTTGAGTTTTAATACTTTGAAGATAAATATAATAATTTTTACGAGTCTTATAAAAAATTTAAATAATAAATATCGATGTTATCTTACAACACTGATCATGATATCTTTTTTATAATTCTTTTTTTTTCAATGATTAATTAATGTGTATAATATTAACACTCAAAAGTTTTTGTTTTAAATTTTAGAGAAATTAAAAAAAACTCATTTTAGAAAAATTGAAAACTATTTAAACATAAAAAATATACCTTTAAGTTTGATAAAATTAAATATTAAAAATGATAATAAAATACTAGAATATAAAAAAAAAATTAATTATTGTTTTTTAATCAACAATGATTACATTTTATCATCTAAATTTTGAGTACTGGAAATTAATTCCATTTGGGTGTTTGCTTTTTAGATAAGTTAGGTTAAAAAATTATAGTGCTCTCCACCTTGGAGTTCCAATTTTGTGACAGGGACTCAGACCTAATGCTATCCCCTGATGTTAGAAATGGAACTTATTTTGAAGGGACATGTGGAAGTAGTGTTGGTTGGAAAATATAGGGCTTTATAAGGAACCGTGCTTAACACTGGTACACCACCCACACTGGTTGGGTAGGTGGACCCATTCTTATATACCATTCAAAGTGGACTACTTCCTTCAAATGGAGGTTAAAAATAATAATAATAAGTGGACAACTTTATGCCAAAGCACCCTTAATTAACCAATATTTGTCTTTTGTGGTTTCATTTTATATTTCAATTTCTTATAATTCCATCCACACACTAATAATAACCCACACATTTCAGACTATGGATCACCGTTGCTATCTCAATCAATGTACATTTTTAACATAATCACCCACTCACTGTTATAAAACAACTAAACCAGTTATGTTAAACTCTTTTCATAATATTCCAATCCAATGGAGGTTAATAATAAGTAACCAGAAATATGAAAGAAAAAAGGAGTGACATATTGTTTCCGTACTAAACGGAAAATGTACCTCCACCAACTCTGCTTCTAAGTCACATCAAACATATATATCTATAAAAATACATGTCACACCCCACTAGCTAATAAGTGCTCTCTTTGTCAACTATCAAATTCAATGCCATCAGACGTTTGTAGTTATAAAAATTGATGCTTTCTGTGACTTCTTTCATTCATCCATTCAGGTGAAATGCTAGCAGAGAACAAAGATGGAGATTGAGGACACATCAAGTGGAGTATCTATTGCCTTTCCTCTTGGCTTAGCTCTTCTCGTTGCTCTTCTGTTGTTCTTCTGCTGCTTCTTTTGCTGCTGTTTGCATTGGGAAAAGCTTCAACCAATGATTCCATTCTGTTCTGGGGTCACCGACAACACTCACCCTCATCACACACAACCACACACAGACATGACTCCCCCTTCTCACAAACCAGGCTTTCCTGTCTTGGTAACCATTTCTCTTTCATCATGCTGTTTCTGTTGAAATAAAGTATGTTTTTATGTTGAATGTTGAATTCTTTGGTTAAGAACTAAAAACACAGACTGAATGGGGTTTGTTTGATGGTGTTCAGATGATGAAGCATAACCGAGGAGAAAGCTTGCCAGTGCTGATGCCAGGAGATGATGTTCCAAAATTCATAGCCTTAGCATGCCCATGTCAGCCTCCAACACATGAAAGGATCACAATCCTTGTGCATAAGGAAGCACCAGATGGTTTTTGTTGAACCTGCAAGAAGTTTCTTATGCACAAACTCAAACATCTGTGGATAGTTTTGTCTTGAGAGAGATGATTAACCAAAAGCTTGCAGGGTTAAAGTGATGATTGAGAAATTAAAGCTGTGCATCATCTCTGGGTGTATATAAGTCTGCTTCTAGTGGGCACTAGTATACACTGCAATATTAAGTTTTATCTTCTGCTAAATTCAGAAGTTGGTAACAAGATCTTGTATATGACAGGGTCCTTGTGTAAGATTGCAGAGATACAAAGTCGTTAGCAAAGGAAATTAATTTCGCTGAAACAATTCAAACATTTGCATGGTACAAATATTTCAAAATGAATGAATGTTGTGTGTTCGAAACTCTTGATAATTCAACAAATTAAGTGTAACGATTGTTTTTAGTTACACGAGTTAGTCTAACTAATTGCAGTAGTTCTAAGTGTAACATATTCTTATCTTTCTCAATATTTTTCTCTCTTTCTATACTTATTTTAGACTTCTTTCCACTAACATTAGGGAAATCATATCTATCCTTCTTTGTCTCTTTTAGTGTGTTTCAACTTTGTTTCTTATAAATGGATTTTTAAGAAGAAAATGTCCTTTTAGATCAATCTACTTCGCTACTGAGAATTTTTTTTTAGTTTAAGTACTAATTCAATTTATGCATTTATGTGTATTTTAAATAAGAAAAAAAAAAAATACGCCACAGATGATTTCACAGTGTATAACTTGCAACTGTGTATGTAAGTGACCAATGACTTTTATAATACACTATGATAAAGGAGTTGCTAGTAAGTGTTAATTGACCAATAAAACTAATATTTTCTTATAAAATTTAATCATGAATTATTTATATAAATATTTTTTTTCTAAGTTTAATTCACTCTCTTTCTAACTATAATAAAATATTTTTTTATTTCTAAATTAATAATTCCCTTTGTATGTGTTGGGCCGACTACTGTAGTTTCAACCCAACTCACGGAAAAAATATCTACTGATACTTTCATCTACTACTTGTCAATATTCATTTCTTATTCCCTCAATATTATCTTCTCAACTTTTTTTCCTCTCTTCCTCACCGATTCTTCTTTTGTTTTTTCTTTACACCGATCAACTTCTCTCTGCTTCACTAATCGACACAAAGCTACGTTTCCTTTTCTTTTGTTTGAATCAACGACACGTATTTTTCTTATTCTAATCACGTTCTCGTTTTATTTGCAGGTTTTGTACTTAATCGAATAACACCAAAGAACATCCTTTTAGAAGATAAGAAGATAAGTACTCAAAAAACTTTTATTATTTTTTTCACGCACATTTACATGAACTGAGATAGTATTTAATGGTGCCTAGTTCTGTTTCTAGTGCAGAACCATAAATCTGTTAGTCTAAAACCGTTTTCCTGTTACAGTTTTGGGTTACAAATAGTCAACACCCCCCTTAAGCTAAAACCCTAGTCTAGTCATCCTCAATTTCTCCTTAAGCTTGTCAAACTGTGTTTGCTTCTGCGGTTTGGTAAAGATGTCCACTGTTTGTTCTTTTGTGTTGCAGTAGACTAGTGACAGCTTCTCCTTGTTCACTTGATCACGAAGGAAATGAAACTTCGTATCAATGTGCTTACTCCTTCCGTGTAGTGTATGATTCTTAGACAAATTAATTGTTTATTTGTTGTCAATGTTGAGTTGGACTGGTTTCCTGTAACCCAGCTTCAGCTCCTTTAGAATTTCTTCTAGCCACAAACTCTGACAAGCTGCTTCTGAAGCAGCTATGTATTTTGCCTCACACGAAGACAGAGCCACCACCTTCTGTTTCTTAAAGAACCAAGAAATTGGTGCATCTAAGTATCTGAACAAGTACCCATAGGTGCTTCTCCTTTCAACCTTGTCTCCACACCAATCTGAGTCAGAGAATGCCTCAAGTACTGCTTCATTTTGTTCATCCTCTTTTGGAAAAAATATTCCCCAATCTATAGTACCCTTTAGATACCTCAGTATGTGCTTGGCAGTAGCCATGTGGGGGGTTTTCGGGTCATGCATAAACCTACTTATCAAACCAACTCCGAA